ATATATATATATATATATATATATATATATATATATGTCCATCCATTGTCCACTGCTTTTTCAGGGTCGGGTCGCGGGGGCAGCAGCTGAAGCAGGGAAACCCAGACCTCCCTATCCCCCGCCACTTCAGATTAGGTTTACCATTAACAAATATGACAAGGCTCATATATATACTTAAGGCCATTTTTATATCAATATCATAACTGTTACATTCTTTTAAATGTGAAACATGAAATTTGAAGTATGTCTGTATATTCATCCTGTGCATAGAAAATATAAAGCATTTCCCTCACCTGAATTGCTTAAGCGGGGCCTTTCACATTCCTAAAAACATCCTCGCTACATCAGAGCAGCGTCTGTTGTCCAGTGTTTGATGTTAAAAGCTCTGAAAAGCTTTGTGTGGAGTTCAGAAGGGAGGATTTCAGCTGGTGTAAATTGATTTTTCCCAGAGCTATAGTCTTTTCAGAAGGTGAGTTAAACATGAAGTGTTGGGACTTCTATCTTGTGAAAAAAAACTAATTTTGACACATCTTAGAAACATGGTCAAGCACAATCTAAGTGTGGATGCTCCATCAGACTGAGCTAACATTGCCCTCCAGAGGGGAGTTTTAATATTGCTGAGAGAGATATATCCATCCCAGCTGCTGGCAGGCTGCATGCACAGCTGCCTGTAATATGGGAGAGGGGAAGTTCATCCTAACCAGGCCTCAGCTCTAATCACAGTGATTATGTTTGTGAGAACTCTTGTGGCCAAAGGAGGCGTTTATTGTCAACGGAGCTAAGTCAGCATGGTGAAGGCAGCGGATGTGGGTGAATATTTGTTTGTTTGTGTTTGTAAATTTTGATAAGAATCATGTTTATTCAAAAAATTCAAATATCCTGACCTGTGTGCCTGTCAGGTCTTCAGTTTATGATGGTTCAGTTTTAAATGTAAGGGGGGAAAATGTATACATTTTTCACCATTAAAATCAAGAATGGTCTCAAGTCCCTGTCAATGCAGAGAGAAGAACAAGGGACAAAGGGCTTCATCATATAGTGAAATCAAATCATTTCTACACTTTTCTGAAGGAAGCAAAGACTAAAAGACTTAGTGGCTTTTATTAAAGCTCATATGGAATGACATCTTCCACCTCTTTTGTCTATCTTTTCTCTCTCCGTACAACATTTGACATTCAGCAGGTGGAAAGGTTGATGTAAAAAGAACCTACTAGTTGATAAACAACCCCCATGAACTACTGAGGCATCTCTTACAGGTCATACAAGTTAAACGTTATGCTCGTCTCCATAATGCTCTCTTCCAGCTTTGCCCAATGTTAGATTCATATTTTAGTGTACAGCTTTAAGTTCTCATTTCCAGAAGAGTGATGATGGAGAATAGGATATTCTAAAGGCAACCGAATACTCAGCTTAACTCCAGACAAATATAGCTGTCCTAAAATCCTTTGACTATGCCATAACATAGATGCATTTTCAAAGTTGACATTGTTCGTTGTAAAAAACTAAAAATGAAATGGAGGACTCTGGCCTCTATTTGTCTGCAAAGAAAATAAATAGTTTAGTTATGACCATGCCAAAGCCCAAACATTGTTATAGCGACTTTCAGTCATTTAAAAAAAGAAAATTAAACAAACTAGCAAATAAATGTATTTAGTGTACGGTATTTGGAAATCAGACAGTGTCGTGCAATAAGGGTTAATGTGGAGTGAACAAGGAGATAATAAGTAGTAACATCAGCAATAGTTAAACAAATGGAAATGGGCTCACACACAGTGAATTGTTATTTATGCAAGAGAATATCAGAGACCCTCAGGAGCTGCCATCTCTGGTCTCTGATGAGCTGAGGCCTTCCTGGTTCCATTAGGATAAGAGTAAAACAGCCACATTTAGACTGATGTGCTTCGGAGGACTCCACCATGAAGTTATTCCATGTACTTTTGTTTTTTCCTTGTGGCTCTGCAGCTCTTTTCCATTTTTGCATTCGCAACGTGTGGCGGCTACTCAGGGCAGCTTCGGGTCAGTGTGGACTGCATGGAGAAGGCAAGCAGCAACCTGAGCATCGGCATTGACTTTGGTTATCCCTTTAGGTAAGTGGAATGCATCTGTGCCTTTGCTCCAGTCACTCAAACCTTTGTTGCTAACTTGAGCTATACAAGAGTCTCGTTAACTTGACAACCGCAGTACACAAGAATTTGTACAGATTTAGATCAGTTTGGCACGATTTCTTGTATCTGCCCTGGATGAATGGACCTCACAGCTGCCCTTTCCTGACTGTGTCCGCCAGGTTGCACCAGGTGTCCTTTGAAGCACCCGTGTGTGAGGCCATGAGGAGGGACACGGTGTTCCTCACTGGAGACTTTTCTTCCTCTGCTGAATTCTTTGTCACTATCGCAGTCTTTGCATTTTTATATTCCCTCACTGCCACGATCGTTTACATATTCTTTCTGAACAAGTACCGTGAAAACAGCAGAGGGCCACTCATTGTGAGTACACCGGTTGAGCTGTTGCATTGACACCAACTGAATCCTAAAAAATGCCTTTTAACCTCAAATTCACATACTAATGACAGTTTCTTGTGCTGACTTTGTTCAAACTCTTCTTCTTCAGGACTTCGTGGTGACTGTTGTTTTCTCCTTCATGTGGCTGGTCAGTTCCTCTGCTTGGGCAAAAGCCCTATCTGATGTGAAAATGGCCACTGATCCAGATGAGGTGCAGCTCCTCATCCCCGCCTGCAAAAGCCAGTCTAACAAGTGCGGCTCTTTGCACGGACCCCGCTGGTCTGGGCTGAACACCTCCGTGGTAAGCTGGGGAAAGCTGGTGGGAGAACGCAAGAAAAGGCACAATGATGTTCTGATTTTGAAAAGCTGAAAAACTTCTACAGCTAAAGGAAAGGTTAAAAAAGTTTTTAAATGATGATTTAAGTTCAAGTGCCAGTATTTTAGATGTCTAATACTTCTAAAATCAGTTTAGATAGAATTACCAGTTCATCAAGGTAACATTAAACACCGTTTTAAAGGTTTCAACCCTTTGGGAAGTCATCACAGTCCAGTAGAGGTTGTTTTTTTTATTGGAAATGTAAGCAACAGGTGAGTCTACATCAGGGGTCGGTAACCTAAAACACTGAAAAGAGCCACCTAGAAACATTTCCATATTAAAAGAAACAGAAAGCGAGAGGCTCCAAATCCTTTTGACCTTTTAAAATGAACACTGGAAATACCTTACTATGGATGAATTCATTTATTGTATTGTAGATAGAAAACTGAAAATAAAACAAAGTATTGTTTTTCAAGACTTATTTTTAGCTTTTCTCAAAATACTAATAACACTTCTTAAAAACGGACAGTAATTCCTAACCGATTGTTTGAATTTTCTCTCATTGCACTGTAATATGTACTTGTCTAATGGTATTTTATGTCATTTCCTCTCTTAAGGTCTTTGGGTTTCTCAACTTTGTTCTCTGGGCTGGAAATATTTGGTTCGTTTTTAAGGAGACCAGTTGGCACAAGGGTGCTTCGAAGTTTGCAAGTGACGCATCTGAGAAACAAGCTGGTACCTTTAACCAACAGCCATACAACCAAGGAAACTTCGACCAGTCAGGAAGTTACCACGCCGAGGGAGGCTTCGATCAGCCATCTGAGTACAGTCAGGTGGGAGGGCCTCCCACATCCTACTGAAATCAAATGTAGATGTGCCTTGTCATTTTTGGGGCAACACCTTTGCATCTTTAAAACAAAGGAAATGAGGGGTTGGGTGATCAAAGATAATGAAAGAAGAGTTTGCCATATGTGTCCTAAATAAAACAAAAAGATGGTTGTAACTGTGCTGTCAAAGTATGCCCATTGTAAATACTATTATTGTTGGGTATTGTAAAAAATTCTTAGAGGTAGTCACACTCCTTCTCCTTTTGAGTTTGTGTTTGTTGAGTGTTGTATTTATTTAGGCATTTACATTTACATTTGTGACAGTTTTCTCTGTTTGTGCTTGATAATTGACATCCATTGTTTTGACAGGATCAACTCAAACTCTGTCTTGAACGGGAGAAAATTATATGTCTACAAGTTTTAAAGTGCATGATATTGTACGTGTGTAAGTAAACACTCAATGAAATGAGGGAATAAACTGCATTTAATGCAGGCAAGTTTACATATTTAACAAAGAACCACAGTATGACACTTCAACATATAAACAAAACCAGAATACATTGATTTACATTACCTATAAATAATAAATGTTAACATAGTCATAGTTAAAGATCAGTCTATTCCATTACAGATAAACTGGCATTAATACTGGAAACACCATGTTTAAAATCATTCACAATTTTGTAATTTTTACGAACACAGTTCACTTTGCCATTCCACAAATGCAGGACAACGCTTATATTATGCAAAGAAGAAGCAACATGATTCATGTTTTATATCGTCCAAAGTATTTGTTTATGAGAATTGTGAATCGTTACAATCTGATTTATTAACATTCTATACACAATTTGTGAATCTTTGTGGGATTAAGATTGTAGAAGGAACATGGTTAGCGTATTTTTAAAAAAAGTATATCCGCCTCACCCAAAGTTTCTATTTCCATGGTTTTATTTTGATTTGCACACTTGCTAACATGTTAATATTTTGTTAACTTTGTTAAGAGGGTGGTCTTGTCTCCTTATACTTACAAATGGACACTACAACTACAAACGACTTCTATGATTTCTTTAGTCTTCTTAGATTTTTAAGTGAAGTTTGCATAAATCTACAGCATGTCCAGAGTGTCAATAAAGCCCTGCAAAAAGAAAAAAAACTTTTGTACCATGGCCAGAACAGAGGGAGTTAATTCATCTGTGCAAAAGCAACTCAGTTCAGTTTATATAAAACTATGTGCTGTTCTTAATTATGAGTCATGATCAGAGGATACTGCTTGGTTCCTGTTTGTTTACAATAATATGACATGTGCAACTCTGTGTTTGACGTGCGCATGTGGCTTGCATTTGTGTAATAAAGTCAATAAAACATCTAATGTGCACAGGTCCTTAGGGATTGATGGTATTTTACAGAAATCTCAGCGCTCCCCACCATCATTTAGAACTGAGGAAGCTTCTTGGATGAGAGGCGAAACGTCCTCTAGAAAACTTCATGTCCAGTAGCCTAAACGGAATCTTTCAAGCTTGACCATGACCTGGATGACTGAGAATCATCACAGATATACTACATCCCTAGACTGCGGGAGACCTCCAATGATGCATCCTTTCTGACCTCTTTTTCTTCTTTTTTTCCTTTGATCCAATTGATTGGATTATGACTGTGAACTACATTCTAATGGCTTGGATTGGATTGTATGTTCGAAGCACCTTGAAATTACTTTTCTTGTGTATTGGTGCCATTCAGATTAAATTGAACAGTTTAGTTTAACCCTGGCTGTGTTTTAAAGCAGTAATGAAACCTTAGAAAAAGACTGTAACATTTTCAGCACAGCGCAACTGAAATAAAACACAGAACATAACAAGGAGGCCATCTTGTGGCTGAAGAGGATCCTTGCCATAAAACTGACTGTTTAACATCAGGATCAACTGGGTTGGACTCCTACAACTATCTGAGTATCTTAAGCACAAGGTAAGACGTTAGCCACAGTGTGACCAGCTGATGGGGTTTCCCTCACACACGCCTCTGCCAAAGCTACAGAAAAAGCAGAAATGGGCTCCTTATGTCATTTGAAAGCCTCCATCATCTAATGGGTCTTGGCATTGGTGGTGGAGATGGTCTCGGGCCAAGGAAGAACACAATTCCATTGTGTACCAAGAACAGAAAAGCCAGCCGGAGCAGCGGAGAGCTGTCCTGCAGTTCCTGGCGGGTTATTATATTTAAACTTACACCAAGTTTGAGTGCATGTCCTAAACTTGGAAATTTAATTTTTATTCATTAAAACATCAATCAATGTTCTAATATGGCAGAGTAAAACTGACCCATAAAAATGGGTCATTTAAAACCATACATGTACAGTAGAAATAGTTCATTTTAGATCAAGAGACGGATCCAAAATTCCTGAGTTCCAAAGTGCCTGTGATGCAGTTTACAACCTGATGGGGTTGTACAGTGAACATTTTACTGCCATCTGTAATATTCAGAGAGAGGTGGCTAAGTATGAAAGCAAGTACTGTGGTAAAAAACTACCAGGTTTCATCAACTACAAGACATGTTTAGCAATTGTGAAGGATGAGCTGCATGAGTTGGCGCAACACAGCTGGGTTGGGCTTTCTAATTTCATCAGGATTGCTAAGGTATCAGATTTGACCTCACCACTTTTATTGCCAAACGTTTTGCGAATTGGACATCATGTAACAGAGTTGCGTTTTCCCATCAATAGCACGACTAAAGGGGAAGAAGCGAAAGCGTAAAACTGTGGAAGAGTTTCGTTTCACAATCACACCACAGTTTGCTTTTAAGTGAACATGAGACACACTGTTGTGGAGATTTCTGTGATGATCATAATGCCATTTTCTGATACAACGACCACATGGGGCACAAGCAACACAATCATTTAATTTATTTAGTTTAAAATAAATACGTTTTGTTGATTTTCTCACAGCCATCGGTAAAAAAAAAAAAAAAGCATAGGTCTGTTACACAATATAAGAGCATCCCTCCCTCCGTTTCAGTGAGGTTAACAAAATGACAAGACCGGACAGGTATGGTTTCGTTTCACTTTAAATAGCCGCAAAGTCTGAAAAACGAAACCTAAAAATGATTTCCTGCTGTGCTGTGTGGAGGAACGCATAGCTTCGGGTTTCTGGATTCGGAACTTCCATCCGTCGGTGGGCTACAGAAGACGCAGCTGCGGTAGTTTCTGTCATTTCTGAGTAAACCATGACCATGAACACGCTGAACCAGCAGTATGAGGAGAAAGTGCGTCCGTGCATTGACTTGATCGACTCCCTCCGCTCCCTGGGGGTGGAGAAGGACCTGGCGCTCCCTGCCATCGCCGTGATCGGGGACCAGAGCTCGGGGAAGAGCTCCGTGCTGGAGGCGCTGTCAGGGGTGTCTCTGCCCAGAGGAAGCGGTGAGACTTTTATCACTTCTGAGTAAAAAGTAGGCTAGCTCATTACTTTATAAGTTACAAATGCCTATTCACTTATTCCTTTATTTGTATTTATTCGTTTTAAACCCCTCACTTCCTCAACAAAACAGTAGCTTTTACGGTACTTCAGAATAAAAACCATTAACAATGACATCATGCGTAGTTTTATGAATTTGTACCCTTTTCTGTTAGATATTCCTATTTCCCTCTGTAAAATGTTGATAGTATTGAAGAAAGTGTTGTTCACGACTACAATCCTGAGAAGAGGAAACTGGTCTCTGTTAAACATAATCGCCACTACACCCATCTTTAATGAGCTTGCATGACTCAGACGTTAAGAGAGAGACAGAAGTCCAACATTCTCAGGAAAGAAAAATACTACAAGATATGAATGATGACAAGCTGTTACCTCCACGTGAAACCTACATTAAATCCCCAGTTCCTGTCATTGCTCTATGTTTTTTATTTTAGTATTTAAAGAGGGTTTGTGGGTAAGTTTTAATCTATGCTCAAACTATGTGGTGAAAAGAGATAATAGATTTCATAACAGCACAGCATTTCTGACACACAAATCTGATCTTATTTAGAATCACTTACATGGCATAAGATTGGGAACAACCAATGTGTGGACCAGATTAGAGCACCAACGCTGCATGTTTAGCACTGTTGGGGCCTTGAAAGAAGACCTCTGACAAAGCCCAAATGGCACTCTTGAGTCATTCAACAGTGATTAATAAACCATACACCCTTGGTCTCTCTTCTAACGTTTTGCTTTTCATATTGTTGGCTCATGTTTAACCAGGCATTGTTACAAGATGTCCACTCGAACTGAAGATGAAGAGAAGGAAAGAAGGGCAAGACTGGTATGGAAAGATAAGTTTCCAAGACACCGAGGAGGAGATAGATGACCCTGCCGTTGTGGAGAGAAAGATTAGGGAAGGTATGACAAACTTTTCATTTCAAACTTTTACTGTGAAAATGTTTGACATTACTATGGCTCTTTTAAGCGTTACTGATAAGAACTGCCGTCTATGTTCTCTACTTTTAGCCCAGGACGAAATGGCTGGAGTTGGCTTGGGAATCAGCGATGACCTCATCAGCCTGGAGATTGCTTCCCCCGACGTTCCAGACCTGACTCTTATTGACCTCCCTGGCATTGCCAGGGTGGCTGTAAAGGGGCAGCCAGAGAACATTGGGGATCAGGTGAGCAAGTTCAGTAATCCTTCAGGGGCAAGTCATAGTGAGGAAATGCGTTAAAAGTAACAGCTGGGAACCAACCACATTTCCAGGACAAAAACTTGAGCCTTGTTTTTCATGTCAATACACAGCAAGTCACGGATAAACATTTTAATTGTGTATATTTAAAAGTTATGATTTTGCCCACAAGAGGGAGTAGTGGACCAATATTCCATGTTCTAAATTGAGAGAAAAGCCTCCAGTTTGGAAATAACAGGAATTTTCACCTTCTTGTTTTTCAAATAACTGAAGATAAACACATAAAGAAAGTGAGATATAGGGAAAGACTAATTGATTTTCACCTTCTTGATGACCAGCGTAACCTGACACTACATTTTTGCACAAGTGACCTGTAAAATTCCCTTTTCTATTCTCATTTCAGTGTTATTCTTCAACAAAGAATGGTATAGAAGTAATTTCTGCTAAAATATATCTTGAAATGTAATGGTGATTTCAGGACATATCATTGATAGATGTCCCCAAATAATATGAAGATGTATAAAGGTAGAATACCTCATTAGCTGGCACTGAATCCCATTATGCACTGCTGATTCTAGATAAAGCGTCTGATCCAGAAGTTCATCACAAAACAAGAAACCATCAGCTTGGTGGTGGTGCCATCCAACGTGGACATAGCCACCACGGAGGCTTTGAAGATGGCACAGCAGGTGGATCCTGACGGAGAGAGGACTCTGGGTAAATTCAAGTGATTTAGGGAGAGGGCAATCTGGCTTTGTGGAGAGATACTCAAGTTGCAGGTATTCCTCATTCTCCCTCCTAGGTATCCTGACCAAACCCGACCTGGTGGACAAGGGCACAGAAGAAGGTGTGGTTGAAGTCGTCCACAATGAAGTCATCCAGCTGAACAAGGGCTACATGATAGTCAAGTGCAGAGGTCAGAAGGAGATCACAGAGAAGGTCTCTCTTTCTGAAGCAATGGAGAGAGAGAAAGACTTCTTCAAAAATCATGCACATTTCAAGTAAGTGCCTTTTTTGCTCAATAATTACACAACGTGTATGTTCAAGTTTTTGCAGTAGTTCTTTATTCTTGCTGCAGCACCCTTTACAACGAAGGCCTGGCTACCGTTCCTAAACTGGCTGAAAAACTCACGCTGGAGCTGGTGCATCACATTGAGGTGAATTCTTACTTCATCTTATCAATTCCCACAAACGATTCAATCACTATCACTTAGACGTTTGACTCCTCGTGTGATTTCCAGAAATCTCTGCCCAGACTGGAGGAGCAGATAGAGCAAAAACTGAAACAGACCCAGGCGGAGCTTGACCGCTATGGCACTGGACCTCCATCTGACCCAGGAGAGAGGCTTATGTTCCTCATTGACGTGAGCTGCTCTGTGTAACACTTAAAACGACTGCATTTGAATCCTCACAATTGAATCTGATCAAAACTGAATCCATGTTAAATCTATGTGCTGCAGAAAGTGACCGCGTTCACTCAAGATGCCATCAGTCTGACTACAGGGGAGGAACTGAAGTGTGGAGAGAGATTCAATGTGTTTTCTATGCTCAGGAGAGAGTTTGGGAAATGGAAGGTTCACCTTGATGTATCTGGACAGAAATGTAAGTATGTTATTTTGTCCAACTGATGAACAGCTCTTCACTATATCAACACTGCAATGCTGATATGATGTTTCATGGGCTGCAGTTAACAGGAATATTGAAAGGGAGGTAGAGGAGTATGAAGACAAGTACCGTGGAAGAGAACTACCAGGCTTTATCAACTACAAAACCTTTGAAGTGATGGTTAAGGAGCAGATCAGAGAGCTGGAAGAACCAGCTATCATGAAACTGAAGGACATTGGAGGTCTGTGTTGATCTTATTGACCAGGCTTATTATTATTGTATATTTGCATTGTCTTGTTCTGGGTGATGTGTTACTAAGATTAAATTTAAAACTATTTGCGTCTTGCCTTTAGATGCTGCTAAGAAGGTCTTCATACAGCTGGCTCAAGTGAGCTTTGCAGGATTTCCCAACCTCATGAAAACTGCCAAGGTCTTTTGAAGCTTTTACCTTAATCAAGGTCCCCTTTGAAATTTTAAGCGTTGTTGGTATTTGTCACTGTCATGATGTATTTCAAAGTCTGAACTGAAATGTGTCTTTTTTTAGGCAAAGATTGAAGCCATCAAGCATGAAAAAGAGTTGTCTGCTGAATCCCTGCTGAGGACTCAGTTCAAGATGGAGCTGCTCGTTTACTCCCAGGACAAGACCTACAGCAGCAGCCTGACTGATATGAAGGAGGAGGAGGAGGAGGAACAAAGGGGTTTAAACAGGAGCATTGTGTATGGATGTGATAATTTTGCAACACTTCAAGAACTGATGGTGCATCTTAAATCCTACTACAAAGTAAGTCTTTGCTTGAATTATTTCTTGTAAGGCCCAGTGTTTATGGCAGATTGTGTCATTGCCATTAAAAGGCATAAACTCTTATGTCTGCCTTCTTGTCCAGATTGCTGGCATGCGTCTGGCTGACCAGATTCCCCTGGTGATCCGCTATCAGATGTTGCAAGAGGCTGCCACTCAGCTGCAGAGGGAGATGCTGCAAATGCTTCAGGACAAGGAGAATGCAGAGTTTTTGCTGAAGGAAGACTTTGACATTGGCAACAAAAGGGCAGCTTTGCACAGTCGGCTGAAACGCCTCCTGCAGGCTCGTGCATACCTGGTGGAGTTCTAGGAGTTAAGGCCAAGTCACAGTATCCACCTGTACCCTTTATTTTGAATATTTAGTATACTGTATTACTTTTTTTCTTGTGCTTTTATGTCTTTGTGTCTGGTGAAATGTGGATGTATTCGATTTTTATTTACAGTGAATCTCAAAAAATAGGTCAGCAGATTTAGTAAATTCGAGGGCCTCTGCCTCGTATAAATCAGGGTCTAAGTTTCTGTGATGAGTCTCTTTGTTGCATCTGGGAATTTTGTGACACATTCTGGAGGATTAAAATCTCCGTCAAGGTTAAAGTGTATCCAACCAAATATGTTGTTCAATGTATTTTTTTTTCCTGTCATTTTATTAAAATTACTTTGTCTAATTCAAACATTCACAAGACTTACTGTGATACTGCCAATTATATTATTTCCGATGAATCGGCTTGAGCTATTTGCATCTTGAGACCCATTTCTGTTCACACATCAATATTGGTTAAAAATAATATACTGATACTATTGACAGTTCAAGGAGGGAGGTAAAGATCCAGTGAACATCAGATCAACTAACCCGGCCACAATAAGAAGTAATAGGAAACACATTAGGAAGATGCCCCAAATGAATAACTACTACTAAATAACTAGCTAAAACCAATAGGAAAAGATAAGCATCCATAAACAGAAAAAGTGGCTGATATTGAGAAATCCTATCAAATCCAAGACAAATATGAAGACTTTTTTTAACATGCATGCATGTGGATATTTAATCAGTGCATTAAAGAACTTGCATTTTTTAATACTTCAAATCATTTAAATAGCTATTTTTCCTTTGGAAAGCTTTTGTTTATCAATTGACTTGAGAAAAGAGACAACTGAACAGACAGAAAAACATGGACAATGAACTTTATTAAAAAATACATACAAAAAGGATTCCAAAGCAAACCCAATTTCAGGTAAAATCTACTTTTATTTCAGTCAGGCATGACTGCTCATATCTATTCGTCATTCTCTGCTGGGCTCCCCTGATTTTGGTCCTCATTGTCTGATTTCTCATCATCTAGAAAAGAAAAAAGAAAGACAAAACTGACTACTTCTCTGAGATGTTACACACTATTCAAATAGCTGTAATTGAGAATAAAAATTACTCACTCTCAAGTGTCTGCTGTAGTTCCTGAATAGTAGTGAGGAGGACATGAAACTGCTTCTTCCTTAATTCCAACTATAAGCAAAGAAAGGTTTATTTAATAAAAGAATAGACAAAAAGATTTGAACAACTGAAAACAACCTATAAAAAAAGAGTTATTGACAATAATTAGTTTTACTTTTGCATCCACATTCTCCTTGATATGAGACAGTTGCTGAAGTTCTTTGTCAAGTGCCTCCAGCTGGCTGTAAGAGAACAGAACAGAGTTCAGCTTAGGACTGATCTAAAATAAAAGCTCTCTTACACAAATACAGGACTTTAAACAACATTTGAACACCTGCTAACTTACTTGAGCGTATCATGTCTGTCTGGATGCTGCTGAATCACCTTTGCCAAAGCATCATATTCTGATGGGGAGAGAGGGGGGGGGGCAAGTAGATCAAACTTCTTTTAGGCTTTACCCTAAACAATGAGTGACTTGTCAATGGAATAACGTCATCTACAAAAATTACTAAGTTTGGAAAAAGCTTAAATAAAGGTGTAACTGTGGTAGATATTCTCTACCTTGACGATTTTTTCGTATCCTCTTGGCCCTCTGAATTTCCTTTTTACAATCAGTGATCTTCTCGTGTGCAGACGTAATGTTTTGCTCTGTGGTGAAAAAAGGGGATAACACCAATTATGACTTGTCAACACTTGTGGTAAATAAATAAAAAAGACAAATCAATTTAATCATACCTATATTTGTGTAAATCTTCTCATAATTTTCCATTTCCCGAAGATTCATGTCGTAAACCATCAATGTCTTCCCCATGGAGAACTCACACTGAGCCAACGTCCCGAGCATCCTCTGGTACTGGGTAAATCTTCACACAAATACAGAAGATATGGCAAATGTAAGTGAACTGTATCCGACTGGATTTACAGAGCCTTTTCATGGAATGAAAACTCTGCACACAGACAGATTAAAACGTGAAAAACGTTGCCAACTCCAGTCCCATGCTGGCCTCGGTGGAGTTAGCTCACCCCTCCTCCGGCGTTCCTGGCGAGTTGCACCATTTGGTGAAACTCTTTAGCAGCAGATTTATTCGTCGATCGTCGCCTGCCCCGTCACCGTCAATAAGAAGTCGCTTCCGTATGACTTCATCTGTAATATAGCCAACAGACATCAAGAACAGCTTTAAAGATATGCCGTGTGGACCTGAACGCCTCTGAGCTAACACTTAGCAAATATGGCTACTGTGTGTTAGCTGTTATCGGAAAAGGCTAGTGTAACGCACACAGTTTTGCTCCTTTCTGGCAACACAACAAGACTAACGCGCTCAGTATTACAGTACATAGCTATACAAGAGGAATACAATCTCTGTTATATATACTCACCATCTGTTACTGCCCCCATGTTTGCACTGTGGTTGTTGTTGTTCTTCGTGTTTCCGGGAAACGCTGCGCTGTTAGTGCGACACTGCCCCCCCCTGGTCGGACTGATTATTACTGCCTCTCACTAAAACTTTTACATAAGTTACTTTAACCGGATTGCATATGATTAGACATTTTGTGAATATCTAGATCTTATCAATTTCTCATTTGAACCTTAAATTTCTCTGTGATTATGTCAAAGCCCCTCGACTCAGTATCATCAAGTTGGCCTACAGCCAAATCCAGAATTTCTTATTTCAGAATCACTTATCAAGAAATGACTGAGGATGCTGTTTATTTTTAATCCTATCTGTATTTGATCTTTTTCTTTTCTGCCTTACTCACAAGAGGAAGTTTAACATCTAAAATCTACTTATGCAGGATGATATGATATATCAAAGTCAACGTGTGCCCCTACACAATGTTTTTAATTGTTGATATTACCTTTAAACCTTAAATTTTCACAATTCCAAGTTTACCTAAGTTTAACAATCCAATCTGCTTTCCCAATCTTTTTTAACTGATTTTTTGCACAAATCTCTTCAATTCCACACTGGCACCAGACTTTTCTTGTCAATGCTGCCTAGACTCTGACCTTATCTTTTCTTCTGACAGTATTCATGTCATACTACCACTGTTGATATACTGTCGTATTTTGTAGAACCAATTAAACTAAACAATTATACAAGGGGACAATATACAAACTATTCTCAAAGGTAAAAACTTTTTGAAGGGAGAAAAGGGGGTTTCATTTACTGGGTAGTGTGTGAGTGCATTTCTGTTTAGGTGTTTTTCTCGTAATTTACAACGTTGCTAATTCAATATGATTTTTTTTTAAACTTTGTCAAGTAGCCTTCTTATCAATGAGTTTCAGCGTGGAGAACGGTACAAAAATACCTCGATGACGTCAGTGCGCCACAACGCACCGACGTCTCTGTCCCAGAATGCCGTCTGGTAAACAGACATGGAAGCACCAGGTGAAGACCTCTTTAGAGGCAGAGCGCTGTACTAGCTTCTTTCCTACCGTCTTATGTCTCATTCGCTCGTTGTACACAGTTCCTGTCCACCAGCCTGGTGTGTCGTGTAAATTTACAACATCAAAAGTCACGGTAAGAGTGAAGTTACTGCGGAGGCGTGTCGGTATCTGGCGACTTCTGCTCGGCTGTCAAGCTTGTGCCCCTTTCCTTGCTAACGCTAGTCATGGCTGGTATCAGCTAGCAGGCTAATGTAACAGTTAGCTGCTGCTGCTGCTGCTGCCGTGGAATAACGTTATGCCAGCCACAGTCCAGCACTGAACGGAGCTTGTTTACATGACAAAGCCCATTGTAAACATTATGTATTTGACCAATTAGAGATCTGCTGAGCGGTGTTTACGTTGTCCTTTCAATACCAGAAAGTTAATTTCACATGATATTTTGGTAAGCACGTAGTGGAGGTGTAGCTGTTGTATTGGAGCCATCTAAAATTGCTGCTGTTATATAGTTTTAAAAGTCCACTTATAAATTGTACATATTGACTGAAAAGAATCACGGCCAGTTGAAGAACAATGACAGGACCCTTTATTCTGTCACTCATGGCCTTTGACATTCAGATATAGTTGACCCAATTCAGAATTAAGATCGCATAGGTGCGTTTATATAGCAAAATAGTGGAATGTTGAGCACAGTCGAGTGTTTAACTTCACATAACCCATTTCTATGTATGCCATGTTTTATGTAATTTAAAGGTTGCTTTGTAGCTTGACCCCCAACTTTTCTAACCTTTTGACTGAAGTTGTGATGATATGGTCACATTGAAAGCAACATATAATTGAACTAACATATTTACAATATTTTCAACTTTTATCAAATATTGACAACCTCCAAATCACAGATTTAAACTACATTAGCATTCAGCACCTCATGCTATACCAATTTATTTTAATGATAAAGCACTTTCTATATGCATACATGCTACATTGAGATTACAGAATTATTTCAACATGCAGAACTTTTGAGTATGAGAAACACATTATGAATTTTAATACATGAGAACACAAGTAGAATGTTGTACAAATGCTGACCTTCATGTGAGTGTTTGCTATTTCTACAAGTGACTTGCTCCTGTAGCCAATATTTGGCGTGTTTTTGGCTTAAGTTTTCCACTGTTTGAGACGGAAGGATGAGCATACTGTTTGATTGGCACATCTGATATTTATATTTTTTATGTCATTGTTTTTATTTTAAAATAAATGCTTCTTTTTAGTTGCAATAATATGCAATAATATGCAAATACTTCCATATATCTGCATCAGTTATGACAGCCAACATCATCTGAGAAGTAAAACCGATGACCATATTTCATGAAACAGAGGTTCAATATGATGACCATGTCTTTAAATAATTGTCAAATATAGTCTTCCTGTAGTTCCACTGCTTAACCCATTAAAAAGCAGGGCACTTAACAACTTCTGACTAACTCATTTACTTACTGTTCTTGTTTTTGTTGTTCTGTTACCATGTCTGCTTCTCCAGCTATCCCCCTCCAGTGTGTGTGCCAGCCAGCAAAAACCCAAACTGATGAGGATCGCTTGATTCAGTTGAAAATAAGATTCTTGCTTTTTCTTTTTTTTTTTTTTTCAAGGTAAGATATCTCAGCTCCTCGTGATGAACATGCATGTGTAATGAGTATTCCTCACAGCTGTACAGCAGAAATAGATGTTTGTGCAGTGCTTTCCCATAGATGGAAAGTGCAGCCATCCCTAACTCACAGCCATGATTTTTGCAATAGTTTTTCCTCAAACAAACTTACCTGCATGTCTGAATCATCCAACCCTTAAGAAAACCGTCTTAATTAGCACTATGTTTCAAACCTCTTATTTGAATAGTTTAACCATTTCAGAAACCATGTGCAGCAATTTTAAAGGCAAAATGTTCTCCCACTTATGCCTGATATGGGATTTGAGCTAACCAGTATTCTTACCTCTTTTTGTCATGCTTTCGGTTTAGTGATATGGTAAATGTTTCCCGCTAGTGACATGTTTACACTGCACACGGCCGGGCAACCTAGGCATCAAGACTCTGACATGATGGACATTTGCTATTATAAGTTGCTCAAAATGTGGTTTAACTTATTCTTGCTGACATTAGCAAGTTATTTAAAAAAGACACAATTTATAGTTCCTGTGTATTCAATATTTTCCATTGATGCAGCCTTAGCTGTAGTCCCAAGTGAGCCAGTTCCATACTAAATGGTACATAAAAACGCAACAGAGCGTTGATGGGTCAGAAATGATCACCCGTGAATAAAACAACTCTCTGCACCAGCACGCGGACAGTGACACATATCCCTTTCCCTGTCGGTTGAAAGTTAGGCACATAATTTACAACGCCAATCACAGATATCTCATTTATGCACAGATTGCACACTGTATGTACAACTTGTGAATATGTAAGCAGGTTCATTGATTGGCAGTATGAATATATATATTGCCACGTTTTGTGATCTTGTTTTCTGCTGAGCATACACTAAAGGGCCCAGATGTTATGATCTCCTCCAATCTTCTTCTTTTTCACTCTTTATTTGCTGTCACAACAGTGTATCTTTCTTATTTTGTTTCTGCTAAACTTTATGATGTTGAAGTGTGTTTTTAACTAGTTGCTGGTCTTACATGTTATCATTATACATATAAAGCAAAACAGTGTCTTGCTGGACAGGAAGCCACAATTCTGACGTGTGGTATCTCATCCAGGAAAATGTCAGGCTGGGGAGTGTGCCTAACCAAAGGTTGGTATATATCAAAATGAGTTTAAAGCACAGTTTTAAAACTCACAAACTTCTCTAATGCCACTTCAAAATCCACTTACTATATTCTGTTAGGAGTCAATGCAGGGTGACTATTTTCATATTTTGGGACTCTGGTATATGACCTAATCAAATACATCCCTTAAGACCTCAAGATGGGAAGTCTGTGGCATTCTACTGTTAATAGCAGGCAGTAGAGTAATCTGAGTTAAAGGGAGAAAGGAGGAAAATTTAATTGAACAGTTTGATACTGTGGTTCAATTCATGGCTGGGATTTAAACAGGTTGTGTATTCTTTTATGTATTAGGTGGAAAAAGCTATAGAGAGGTCACTTAATCAAACCACTGAATGCTTTTCAGGAGGGGAAGCAAAAGGTTGTACGCAATCACATATTGCATCATAAATGTGATCAATTATTTGTAAGTCCAGTCAGTATGATTCCTATGTCTCTGAAAAACAATCAGCTACTTTTTCAGCTATTTTTGAAGATGTCCTTTTAGAGAGCTGCCATTTATTTTCTTCTAGTTTGTCAGTGTATTGTATGCATCACAAGGATTGACTAGAAGTTGGTTATTTTGAAAGTGAAAGTAAAGTAAACTTCACTTTTGCCTGGACTTGCTCAAATATAAATTTGTGTAAAATGCTGGAATTAAGCTGCAAGTTTAAACATAATGGTGTCTTTAATTAAACTAAAGTGAAATAGTTTATTACTTTTTAACACATCTGAAAAGCTTAGAAAATCACAAGGGTAAAGGGTTGACTCTGTCCTGATACATTAATCCATTCTCTAGTATAATTTTTCATCTTTATTGTTTTCTTCTGATATGACATCAGGGATTCCTCTTTTTGATGGTAGCATAGCAAATATTCAAAACCAAACAATCAGTTGTTTTTTTTGTATGCAAATATTGGATGAATGCTGGCCAGGAAGCAGAACCACATTTAGCAGTCATAGGTTTGTTATGAACCTCTTAATAAACATACATTTTCATTGTTTTTAAATTCTTGTGGGCCCAGTGAGTAGCTCCATCATAAAATGTTTTTAATGCTTTGATTAGTTAAAGTTTTAATAGAAGCTGTGGAAAATGTCAGAGAACAGAATTCAATCCAAATTTTTATGGTCTTAAAGTTAGTTTCACTGGGTTCTATATGTAAGAATGATCTGAAAAAGTTACTTCTATATAACCTTCCACAATTAAGGGAAACTTCAAATTCTAGATTTCTTTCTCACCTCTGTGTATAAAATTGTAATATTTTGAAGAATTTATTTATATAAACAAACAATCTAAATACTTCCAGACCCTGTTCCAAACTGAGCTATCTGTCCTTGTTTTGAAGAGGATAATTTCATAGCGTGATTACCATAAGAGAAAAGTGTCGCTTAGTGTTTTAACAGAAAAAAGGGCGTGCTGCCAAATCCTTTTGCTTGTATCGATGTTGCTTGTGTAGTTTTAAAAGATCTGTATAGCAGCCGCTCGGCATGGTGTGTGGAGCACTTGTTTCAACACTCCTTTTAACCTCATGCACTCATTACAATGGAATGGAGTGGATCTCTTCGGACCACATGACCTTATTTACATCTTTAGTAGCTACATTCTCTTTACATTACGCAGGTTGAAATGCTCTTACTTTCCCAACTGAAAATGTAGATAGTCTCAGACCTGTACCCCCCTGAAAACATTTGCCATATCATCACATGAACTGCAAAAAAGGAAGCCAGGTCTGAGAAATGTAAGTCTTGTATTATGCAAGAAGAGGGAAATAGTTTGTCTTTTAAAATGACAGCAAATTGGAAAACTTAATTCTCAGCATACATTTTTGTTCCTCCGTTTATCACATATTTGAACATTCGATTGTATTTCTACTCTTTGCTTGTTTTGCACAGCTTCCTAATAGTTTGGAAATCATTATATTTCAGGGTTGCAATATATTTTGACAGTTTGAACTGACACCACCCGTGTGTCCACATTTCTGTTAAGCTCATGTTGGAAAGTCCTTAAGCGTGGTAATGATTGTGGAATTTTAAAAAAGAATACAATTAGACATTTATACAGGTAACATCACAGGCAATAGAATTGTTCTGCTCCATTTTCACGTTTTGCAGTTGTTGTTTTTTTTAACTTATGTTTCTTCGGTCACATGACTCATGTCTTATATTTTTTAAGTTGACATTTTATTAGCATTAAAACAAGGAAATTAAATGTGTTTCCCTTAAAACATGTTTCAGTATTCAGATAAGTTGAATTGGAACCTGCAGGCTGACCCAATTTCAATAGAATTCAATTAATATGAGAAAAGAAGGTTGGAAAATTGCTCAGCAATTTTTCAGGCAGTTATTGTGACAATGATTTATCACAACATTTTAGGTGTAGCTTTGATTTTTTTTCCCCAATATGTAATCTGTAATCCAGTTCATTGCAATGGATAAGGAAATTGTTATAGTTCTCAAGGACGCTATGAATTAGCCTTAGTTATTTTTGGACGAAGGTTGTTTTAAATTGATTTGTATAATGCATAATATAAATTATAGTAAATATTTACATGTAAAAGTAGGATTTGGAGACAGGGAACCTGTAAACGTACTAATATACGTGCAAGAAGTAATAATGCTAATTAGCAGTAGCAGGAGACCTTCAGGTGTACCGGGTAAATATCTGGGGGTAAGCTTTGCACTTGTTAAGTGGCTCGCTGAATTCTTATGCGAGCAGCCCTGTGAGTCTATTTTTTCCTTCGTTTTTTTTTTTTTTTCTCAGGACCACACACACGTCAAAGTATCACACGTTCGGTCGACGGCGGTGTGTGTGTGAAAAAAGTCTCATCCCGAGCCCGAGCAAAGCTGACTCTTTATGTTGTTACATTGTAGCGGAAAGAATGTCGGAAAGGGCCGAGGATGACGTCAGGGGGGAGCAGCGCCGAGCGGCCAGGCAGCAGCTGAAGCAGCAGCAGCAGCAGCAGCTCCAGCGGGGAGAAGGCTCCACAGCAATGGCGACTGTTGCGGAGCGGAGAGCGTTGCCTAGTCCCGAAATCATGGTGGGACAGCCTTGGAGCAACTGGGCCGACGCCGTCAAACTCCACGGACACGACGGTGAGTCCCCCAGCGTCCCGAATGTGCGCGAGGAAGCGAGGCAGCGCGCGACAGTTGCCAGTCCTTTCCTTTTTTTTTTTTTTTTTTTTTTTTTGGCCGATTGCATGCAGTTTCTGCTTGAATATGAAGAAACGCTACTGGTAGCAACAGCACGGCCAGGCAAGCAAGTGCAACTATTTATCAGTATCTGTGTCGGGTCGCCTCGTTTTTCAGGTGCTGAATCGGAAGAAAGTTTCAAAGACTTGGGGAAAAATCGAGAAGCCATGCGTTTGTGCAGAGAAGGTGAGTGTTTTCCTCGCTCCCGGGCCAAAGGTGTATTTTGGTTCTTGGGGCTTTGCACACATACACACACGGACTCAAAACACTTTACACGCGTCGCACAGTTGAAATTCTGTCAAGAACATGCGCATCATGAGCTAAATGGAAAACCGGATATTATCTGTAAAACGTTGCTTTAATCCTTGTTTTAGTTGACATGAAAAACGCAGCGGTTCAGGAAAAACCATATATATTGCCTGTGAATTTTTATTTGGAGACTTTAGTATTAAAACATTGTTGAGAAATTACATTTATGCCATTTTCCATGTGACATGTGTAGTGCCTTGTCCCTCCTCACTCAAAGAAGTGCCCAATGTTTACAACACTCCAAATGATGTTATGGTAGCAAAAGGCATTAAAATTGTTACACTAAAAGTCTGTTCTTTGAAGAGGAGCTTTTTCTATATCTATATTGAATAACAAATATTATAATCATTACTGATTCATTTTGTACTTGTTAGAATTAGAATTTTAAAGTGAACATTGCTTGAAACTTAAAAAGAGTGCAAAATGTGAAAGAACTTAAAAGTCTGACCTGTTCAGCCTTGAAAAAAACTAAACTCAGATGGTTTGTGAGCACTTTTGTAAAGGAGCGGGGTTAATCATGATATACTAATAGTAATAGCTATGAGGTTTGATAATTGTAATTCAATGTTCCCTTTAGTATTAAAACAAAATGTTGGTTTTAGCTAAGGGTAATGGAACCGCCACGGCACAGTAAAGGGGACATCGCATGGCATGAGTGGTAGAAAAATGTAACAGTCTAAAAAGCCAAAAAACAGTGTCTTGGATCAGTGTGTATTTTTATTTATTTATTTTTGTAACCATTTGAGGGGGGCTTGTTTCCAGCTTACAGGGCAGGATTTAAAATAAGGACCAACAGATAGTCACACATTTGATGATATTTAATTTATTTTAGTAAGAGCTTATAATTAGGTTTTATATTTCGGGTAACTGAAAAGGATTGAGAGTGAACTTGAAGGAGGAGAATATAAAACACCTGTTTCACGACACAAAACATTTGTTTGGACGTCTCAAGTCAATGACACCTTAAAAATGACAAAAGACAAAGCCATTGGTTGTTGTTTTGAGTCCCTTTGGTTTGAGCATATATTTAATTTACTGAGTTGTTAAGATTTCGGGGGGGACGGGGTTGTAGTTGACCCTCCTTGCTCAGACTACCGTGGGTCACGGACTTAAAGTTTAAATCGGGTCATATTTGTTGTACCTTGGAATAAGAATTAAAATGAGTTCTGTTTGCTTTAATATTAACAGCAAATTCTCATCAGCAGCTACATTATTAGCACAAGACAGAAATGAGCAAAAAATGCTGCACTGGTCTTTGTGCTGACACGGGCAGATGTCAACACACGTGTATTTTCTTGGTGGAAAACAGTTTGACTTGTTTTGACCAATGTCGCACACATTTTATTAAGACCTCTGGGAATATTTTGAAAAGGGTGCACGAGATGCCTTCTCTAAATCACTTTGCTGTCAGAATTTTTATCTCTTCTTCAAGGACACATGAACAAGGCATGTCACATGTGACCTTGGTGTAATGGGACGGGCACGGGCACGACAAGGACAACAAATTAAATATGCACGATTGCGTGAGCTCTGTTTTTATCTGAAAATAATTTCTGTGACCTGGCTTTTAAAGAACAAAACAAAACAAAAAACCTCAATTTAGAAAAAGAAGCCTCAGCGTGTTTCATTCCATCCTGCAGACAAATTACAAAGCGGTTGTTGTGGTGTGCAGAGATGGTCCATATTGTGTCATGGTTGTGTTTCCAACTTGTATTTTTCTTTGCTTTTCATTAGTTGTTGTTAACAGCAGGGCATTTGTTGGGGGTTTTATCTGTCTTTGCATTTGCATCGGTGTGCTGTGTACATACCCTAAGACCATTGCATAATTTTATTGACAAAGACTCCAGTAGATGAAAGCACAGCTTTGGTGGAAATACAGCTTTGGTATAATATATATGTTTTGCCTTTGTGATTGCACAGAACACTGTATTTTGGACTAGATTGCGTGCATTGTGTTGAGGAAAAGCTGTTTGTCAGTGTGCGAGATTAACAGATCTCCAGGTCAAAGGAAGAGTATTTAGAGGAAGGCACACATTCAGAGGGGTCATTTTAATATTCCGTGCAGCATAGATCCCTTTACAGCTATCTTAAAACATTATCATCTTGTTGCAGCGTCTGTCAGTGACTGTAGTTTCTGTCATGGGTCTGATCAACACATGCTGTTCCTGGCAGAAGTTTTGTTCATACAGACGATTCTCGTAGGGGTATAACGAGTGGATGACTACACCTCTCCATCATGACTCACCACCAGATTCCTCCTGTGGTGAAATGGCCATTCTATCACACTCGGATAATTAACACGCGCTCACACATAGCTCACATTGTAAAAATGAATGGCACTTAATGATTGATGAATCCATCCATCTGTTGCATGTTTTTGAAGACGTTACAGTGGTGCCGTCGCAGTTGGTGGAGCTGGTAAATGTAGTGCCACCATCACCTACAGGTCAGAGCGAGCCAACATGTCTGCTGCTGAGAAGCAGCTCGAGCTGCTGCGATCCCACCTAGATCATTCATCACTGCCACCGCTGAGGATGCAGAAATTAACTAGACTCCCGTACTTCTCTCTGCCTCATGCTCTCAGGCTTTCATTCTTATTTTCCAACGACAGCACTCTTCGTTCTCTTTGTCTTGCTGGGGCCTCGGCCTGCTTCTTTCCCTCTCTCTGCCCCCCCCTCCATTTATGCTTGTTTCCAGCCTGTGCCACATTGTTTTGCCTCTCTGTTTCTGCCTCTCCTTTCTTCTCTGTGACTTCCTCTCTACCCACCTCCCGCTTGTGAAGAAAGAAAATGGACTTTCAGGTTAGGGTAGATTTAGCGGCGGTAGGCCACTTTTAAAATCAAGCCATTTTAGCAGCACCATCCACTGGTATCCAATGTGCTGAATGTAGAGTTGCAAAGCTATATAGCTGGGCTTCTTTCATAGTTGAGCAACCTGTTTGCCGAACTCTCCAGGCGATCTGCAGCAGCAGTTTGGGAATGAGTGTTCTTTTTGTTTTTTTGCCTACCTATTGATCCAGGAAGGAAATTTGATTGGCCTGGCTGATGCTGCGCTTCTTGGTCTGTTTCAATAAAAGATCCGCTGGAAGGTGTAGTTTTAATGAACAGTGTATGGGAAGTTATTGATTTGGCAAAAATGGCTGCTTACTCATTATAATTTCAATTTGTTATTTGTAAGAGAGAAGGGCTCATAGACGGAACCAAATGAAAACAGACTTGAGGAGAAGAAAAGTTACTCAGATCCTTTACAGCAGCCTTGTCGTGGTGTAGTGGTGCAGTTGGCAGCCAGCTAATGGTACCCCCACAGATCACGTAACTGTACTTGTTTGGTTAGCACAGCAGTCAGCTTTCCTATTTAAGCTCTATATGATATGCATGCCTTTTATTCATCGAGTGAAGACTTCTCCTTTTTTTCTTTGGCAGACAGCAGATGCAGCAAAATAAGCCCTTCTGCTTCACTGCTATTGAAGGAGACACTTGACAAATCTCTTCAAACAGTTGACACATTAAGTAGCATCAGGTTTATCAATTCATCCACACAAGACAGCCACTGACCTCTTTGAGAGGGGACTCAGCAGGTAGATTCTTTTATACGGTCTTTGCTTAATGGCCCTCATCCCTTCCAGACTCTGCCGGTAATGTTTGGAGAACCCTTGAAGGCCCTTGCAGAGTATGGAATTGAAGAGGGGCCTCTCTTCTCTCCTCTTGTTTCCTCTCTTCTGCTCATCTCATCATGGCACCCCAGGCAATCTCTTAATTAGCCCCCTTAATGAGGTAGTTTCTGATTCTCTGTGCCAGGGTAAATTTTGATCACTTTCTGTTGAGGAGCAGCACTTCCTCTGATTTGACTTAGAGTGGTTTGTAACTGTGAGGGGTGGTCAGTGGTGGGATACAGTTGTCCCATGCATATTCTCAGGCATATTAAGTAGATTAATATCTTAAAAGCAGCAGTCCCTGTTTGGCAACAATACACAGTTCCCCTGTTTTTTTCTAAAGTGTCATGGTGCAACATGTATAGAATGAGCCGACTCATGAAGAATGATGTACAATTTATGTGACTTGTGAGAAGACCTTTATTATTATAAAAGTCTTATTATTATTATTATTTTTGAGTTTTTATTTCCTGTTACTATAAACATTCTAAATAGTACTTTTGATTGATCTGTTTGAAAAATAGTTTTAATAGTAATTAAACCTGTTTTTTAAATGTTATTTGTAATTTGTTTGGGGTGGGGTGCCTCAAAACCTAACATTTTTAGTGCTCTGTTCGATTTGGGATAAACATTTTTGGATGAAAAAGCATCAGAAGTAGATTGAAGGTGATGGATGGAGTTGTTATCTTTCTAATATTGTTGTTGAGTCTCTCTTATGTTGTGTCCTCTCTTCTTGACTCCTTCATTGTCTATAGACATGCCGATATTTGGCCAGTATCCCGCACAGGACGATTTCTACCTGGTGATGTGCAGCCACTGTGGTCATGTGGTTAAGCCACAAGCCTTCCAAGCACACTACGGTAAGTTTTATACACAGTAAGTTTTTGGAACTAGTTGTGTTTCAGTTCTGTTATTAATTTGAAACTGATTCCTCTTATCTCATCTTCATTTGAGGTGGTTTAGGGATAAAATTGTTAATTCTAAATAGTTAAAATGGTTCTTGTGTAGCAGAGATGTTACTGGCATTACTGATAATGGGATGTACTGATAATAGCTGTAGCCAAAGGAACCACACACACCAATTTACCTAACATGCATGTTTTTATACTTTGGTTTTTATACCAAAAGTACCCACAGAGAAGGGGAGAGTATGCAAACTCTACATAGAAAGCCCCACCCGGAACCCTCTTGATGTGAGGTGACGGTGCTAACCAACACACCACCTGCAACCTTGGAAATACTCACTGAAATGAAAGAGTAATCCCAACATAAAAAAATCAAACATTCATGCAAACCTCCTATATGTTACACAGACTATTATTTACTCCAAACTATAGAAATAAATCATTATCATTGTGTAGTTACTGTGAGCAAGACTTTCTAAATGTGTCTTTAATTTCCATTGACTTTTGGAAATACACATCCACTGATGTATCAGCAGGCTGATTTCCATAAAGTGTCTGTTAAGTGATTTACGTTGATTCACGTTCCAACAGGCAATTTATTTTAATTATTTTCTTCCGAATGTGAAAAACAATTGTGTGGTCCCACTAACTGTCAGTTCATAGCTACCATTCATGAGTAAGGACATTAGAATATAAAAACACATGAATGTGTTGATTTGAATATAAATTTTCTAGATGCTATTAGTAGAACAGGTTCATCTTAGAACTCTGGTCATCTTTCTTGACTTAGTCTGGACAGGGTGTTGCACAGGGTTTATCGGATTGAATCAGAGGGAATCATCTTGAGGAGTGTTATGCCATTCTAAGGTTAGTGATATTCATGGCTTAACACACACTCCTTGACCCTGTCATCACCTCCTTTTCCACGTAGTAGGTCTTTGATATGAATCGGAGTCTTTGGTAGGTCTTGCCTATTAAAAAGCTGATTATTGTGACTCGTAAAGATTTTAGAAAGTAGTTGTATTCAATAATTGAAATTTCATTGTTGTAGTGATATTTGCCGTTATCAAGCCGCCCAGAGGTTTAGAAACCTGTTGAGTTAATTTTATTCACTCTTTTACTGGCCTATAATTGTCTTTATTAGATTTTCCTCAAAGCCTCCCAGTAACTGTTAGCATTTACCCTTCTATTCACAACAGTCTTTTGGTGGCATTTATTATGTATAGGGTGTGTATAAATTCTTTTGGGTGCATGAGTTTGAGTTGAGTCATATCTTTGACTTCTCCACCAAAGAAAAATAGAACCCACGAATGTACTATTTGGATTGCTGTTGATCATTTAACCTTACAGTCATCAATTCATTGCTTCTTTGCAGTTGTCACGGACTACCCTTTGGCGTTTTGGTCTCCCTTATGTGTTACAGCAGTCATAGTTGTCATAGCCTGCCACCAGAGGGAGATACAGAAACAAAAGGCATCTCGGGAAATTGCATGGAATTATGCCCCAAACTCTATTTGCTCCATTTAAGGAAAACTTAACAAAACAACAAAAACGGTACAGACTGATATAGCAATTGTAACCATGTGTGTGCTGGAGCGTCCAGATGAGTTTTATGGCTTGCCATGGAATCTTTGAATCATAACAACACCAACAACATCTCAGCAGGTGCCTGTAAGGCCTCCTGATCGTGGTGGCACTGTCATACAGATTGTAGAAAATCACTACATTACCTTGGAAACTAAATATTCTCCCGACCGTTAAAATCAGAAAATCTTAAAATGATCACATTTAATATGCTTGAAGTGGGTTTCTCTTTTTTTCTTTTTATGACTGTATTGAATTATTGATTGCCGGAGTAGTAGCAGATTCATTCACAGTTTGACTAATCATTTCAGCTACAAAACTAAGTGCTAAATCAATGTGATATTTTGTGGCCGTTCTTCTATTCATGGGCCTAAAAAGAGTTCCTTGCTGTGTTTACTCAGTTTCATTCTATCTGTTGTCATTATGGGAATACCGCACATGGCGCTGACACAGGGGCAGAGGCACTGATCTCAATACCATTAAGATCCTCTCCATATAATGTTAGCATGCCTCTTTGAGCCCATCTGTCTTCTGTAAGGTGTTTGTGCTTCTCGGCTGAGGCTGATCCCAGCAGGGGTGGCGCTCACCCCAGAATCAGAAGCTGCTGGCTCATCTGCACTTTCATACATTCATTTATGAACATATCAAGCAAAGACTTGTCTGCTGGTTGATCCAGTCTTACGGAAGTAAATGCACACAAGCATGTTTTTGGATCGTGCACCGGAATTTTTTGGTTAAATGATTTTTATTAAAAAGAAAAACTTTTATCCTTTATACTTGTTTTCAGAGAAGTGGTTGCTGGTGTCTCAGCCCCGCAACCACAGATTCCCAAACCACCGTGCCGGCTGTTTTACACTTGAAGGAAGATATCAAGCCTCCTTGTTTTTCACTTTAGTCTTGTTTCTTTTTTCCCCCTCCACATCAGTCCTGACTCCTCTGTAATCCTCCACCACAGCCGTTGGTGTTAGCTTTTATTTTTCATTGTTATTGCTCTCTGGACCAAGGAACCAACGGGGGAGGATGACAGAGAAAGATAAGTTAAGCAATGGGAGGAAAATATCTGGGGTGCGTGGCAAATGGGTTTGTAGAGGGGAGGTGCTTGAGAACAGAGGAACAGAGGAGATGGGGACAAAGCCAAGCAGGTGAGGTATTGTGTAATTTAGTGGGGACATCTCCTAATGGAGAGCGGGATTGCCAGCGTTCACCATGCCTGCCATGCATGTTGCTCTTCATTTTACTGTTTGCGCAGAAACAAGTCTGTCTGTAAAACAACCTGCTGTGAGTTTTGGCCAGTATTCCACTCCCAAGTTATACTATGGAGGCAGCCCAGAAGAGGCTCGAGAGGTGCCTCCTGCAGCCAGCAGCAGACGCCTCTGTTTCTGTCTCTTCCTGATGTGTTGGTCTGTCTGTGTGACCTTTGGGGCCCTCGGCTCTATGGAGCTGCTGCTGGCACAACATGAGCTATTTACAAGGGGAAAAACTGTGTTGCTGCCCAGGTTTTCCTTTTTTGTGTGGATGTACTCCAAACAGAATTCGGTTTGGTGGTTGAATTTGTCTTTTTATTTTTGGGCACTACGTTCAGTCGTCCTCTAAAAATAGGGATTGATGACAGCTTCATCTGAAGACCAAATGTTTCTGTGATTCCTCTCCTGGGATTCTATCTTTTGTGTGACAGTGCACACAGTAGAGTGTGTTTCTATTCGTCTTGGAAACTGCAGGTCATTTGAACTAATCGGATTTAGTTCTAGATGCAAGCACATAAGGATGTGTTTTTTTCCTTTTTCCTTTTTTATCTATATTTGGCTCTCCTTCCAGAATCAACTATCATCAAAACCCTTCCTTTTGACAGTCTTTTATCAGTTTACACTGCAGCTGTTGTACATAGCTCAGGCAGGAAATAAAGCTCCTGACCCCTTAGCTTGTTCTATTTCAGGCTGTACAGACACAAATCATAAATGTAGCTGATTTGTTGTTGATGTAACTTACTTTCTAATATCAGACGATAGTTTGTTTGTTCCCATATCAGGTGTTTTCTGTCTTGACTCATGGCTACATAACTATCTACCCTGTTACAGTGTTTGGTCCAGATAATATTGTTACATCAACTCTTTGTCTTTTTTTTATGTCAGCTTGCTCTTTATTGTGTCACCACAGAGCGAAGACACACTTCTGCCAGCAAGCCGGCCTCAACGTCGCCCTTCTCTGTGACGGGCAGAAACCGAAGCAGCAGCGCTGGGCTCGGGCCTGGGCTGGGCGCCGCAACTGTGGCAGGAGTGACAAGTGGAGGCATTCTTAGCCGACCGTCTGCTGCCGGCTCTAGTTTATCCTCCTCCTCATCATCCTCCTCTAATCCAAAACTCGTCAAATCCGCCAAAGAGAAGCTGCCAGGCATTCAGCGAAGACCCCACTTTCCCCCATTCAGGATGATCCAGCCAGATAAAATGTAAGTTTGACTCTTTAACAGAGCGTTCCTGGGGTTGTTGATTCATGATGTTACATTTTAGGGAGGGCTCTTGATGCTGACCATTTTATTGCTTTTGGAGCCCATCAGTTTGAAATGGGAATATGCCCCCCTGTGTTTTATTTTTCGTGCCAACATGCATTCTATGAAATACTAGAAGGGAGTGTCCGGTTGATGAGCCAGCTGTTTTTTAAAATGACTTTCAGCAAGACTTTTGTAAATGTTTCTACTGGTAGTAATTGCATGGACTATTGATGGACTTAATGGCGAAAAAACGGCTGATGTCTCAACTTTTGTTTTTCACATCTAAAACAATTTTATGGTAATTTACTATTTACGTATTAGAATATTCAAGTCTCTGTTTCAGACTCAGACTTTGAAGGTTCCTAATTGAGTGTTGTTGTTTTTTTTGTTTTTTTAAATCAACGCTCAAACTACTACATATTTTCTCCTTCAAGCCTCCTTCATATGTCCACATCTGTCTCTGACCAAATGCAGCTCACTGGCTCATTGTTTCTAACGCTCAGCTTGCTCCTTGCTGCCCTCCTCATCTCTGTAACCTTCTTTTCCAGCCTCACCCCAGCTGTTAAGGTGGAGAAGATACATCTGAGGGTGGACTCATCAGCTAAGCTGGTGCAGGCTCCATCTGCCCCCGCTACCACTTCATCCTCCTCTTCTACATCCTCCTCTAGCACCACTGTGAGCTCGAACACTACCGCCATCACGACCTCCTCCTCATCAGCCCTTAAAGCAGGCCTTAACTGTCCCTCCATACCAAAGCCTCCTTTGCTGGCCCCTGGTCATATCCCCAACGGCAAGGGCCTCCTATCCGAGAAGAAGCATGACAACAGCAGCACCAGTAGCAGACGCCACTTTAGCAAGAAAGTGTCAGGTCAGTGGGGTGGAGGCAAACAGTGGTTGCAGTTTTATCGTGTTGAGATTTAGCAATGTCAGCTGAGTTTTTTTCATTCGGTTGATCAAATGTAGTATTTTGAAATGGCTGCAGGACGACTGCACTATCAACAGAACTTTGGCCACCCTGTTGTCATTCTCATGCAGCATACTCTGTCTTGTCAGTTGTGTTTCTCTCTTGCAATCTCTTGTGCATGACGATTAACATTAGCTTATTATGTAATTAATAAGGATAAGCGCTGTCACCATCCATTTTACCATAGGGCAAATCCTGTCAGAATATTGCTAATTATTGAACAAACTTTGTTCCCATCCCCATCCTCTTATGCCTGCAGAGCGTGAGTTCAATCCAGACATCCACTGTGGCGTTGTGGATATAACGTCTCGGAAACCCTGCACAAGATCCCTCACATGCAAGGTGACTACTCTGCTCAGTATGCTGTGCTATACATTAAGATAATATGAAGCTCATAATGTTCAATGTTTGCATTACTTTCTTTAGCTCCAAGAAAATATAAGTATAAACATTTCTCTACATGCCTGTAGAGACAAATGCCCGTATGGACATCATATATATATGCATATGTGTGTGTTTGTGTGTAAAAACGTTGTTTAACTCATGGAATCATATAGCATGGGAAATGAAATATTGGGCTCTATGATGAATATGAAAAGACTAAGTTCTCCAGTTTAAGATTGAAAACAAAGGAGAACATGTACCCAAAATGTTTTTTTTTTTTTCAATTTATGACCAAACATTCAACATTCCAACAGACACATTCCTTAAGCCAGCGGAGGGCAGTGCCAGGGCGAAGGAAGCGCTTTGACACATTGCTGGCAGAGCACAAGAACAGAACAAGGGAGCGGGAGAGGGAGCGAGAACTCCACCAACCCAATTCCCAGCAAAACGCCCCTCTCAGGGACCCACACCCCTCTACCCACCTCACCCCAGGCCATGAAGCCCACCATGTGGCTCATGGCAATGGCCCAGCCCCCGATGCCACTAAGCCTTTGCCTCTGGGAAAGCCCAAATTTCACAGTCCTGGTCTTCCACGGTAAGAGCTGCGCCAGACGCATTCTAGCATCACTTCATCTTTCATTTCATCTTGCGTCCCTGTAGAACTGATTCAGTTTTTGTTCTTTGGTTCTTTGTCAATCAGACTAAACAGCAGTCACGGAGGTGGATCCTCTGGAGAGCCTGCAGTAGTCCATGAATCCCCGCACCATCCCCAAACTACACTTGATGGTTTTTCCAGACCCTCTAGTGATGAAGGCGAGAATGAGGACCGTGAGGACAACTCTGACAAACTGGACTGTCATTATTCAGGTTATCACCCACGACCGGCAGCTGTAAGTGTAACTCATCTGTCATTAGCTACGGACCACTTTTCTTTTGATCGCAATGGTGAAACTTTGGAGGATTATGGATTATTTTCTCATTCAAACCCGCCTTGTCTTCCCAGTACTGTACCTTTGGAAGTCGACTGTTTGGGAGAAGCTGTTACTCCTTTGACAGGCGATGGGACAATGTGCGATGTGCCCTAACCACCATGATGGAAAAGCACGTCAACTCACAGATGTGGAAGTAAGTCTGGACAGTTGATATTCTTAATATGAATGCTAATTATTACCGGTCTTATACAACGGTAGAGTGATTATTACAGGAAAGTAGTAAGATTAGATTGTTTTGTTTTTTTTACCTAATGGAGTATGATTTTTCCATTACAGGAAAATCCCCTTGGCCTTGGAGAATTCCTCCTCTGTTGCACCTACCCATAGGACAAGCACAATTTCCCATGGTAGCACTCCCTCCTCAGGCTTCCTGGGCCCCCCTGCCACATTGCCCCAAACTCCTTATAGCCAATCTTACGAGGGCAAGTCCGTGCTCTCCTATGGGACCACCTTAAATGCTCGTAGTTCCCCACAGGGCGGGGCTGAGCACCCGGCCTATGGCACCACGCAGGCCCGACAAGTGTCTTCGTCGCCGCAGATGCCTTCAGCCCACTTGTCCTCATCCTCCTCTTCCTCAGCTCCCTCCCCCGCCTCAGGCCGGGCTGTTAAGGCTCGTTCCTCCAGCAACGCCTCTACCAAGTCATCATCGTCATCGTTTAGGCCCAAAGAGAACCCCTCTGGCTCCTCCGCACCTGTCACACCCAACTCCACGAGTGGAGGAAGCACTGGAGCAAACAGTAACAGTAGCAGCACTAGCTTTAGCTCGGGAAAGAAGAGGAAGAACAGCTCTGTCCTCTCTTCATCCCACAGCTCCTCTGAATCCTCTTCTAACGCCAATTTCTCTTCCTCCTCTATCAAGAAGAACTGTGCAAATGTCAGCAGCTCAGGGAGTACCTACCACCACAGCTCATTAGGTCTGTCGTCCTCATCTTCGTTATCCTTCTCCCACAGTGGAGTCCACAGCGTGGGGCTCAACTGTGGCCCTAATGTACGGACCAACTCACTTAGTCTCAAGGCAGAGCCTTCTGGAGGTTCAGCTGGCGGCTCCTCTGGGCCACCAGCACGAGGTCCTCCTTCAGGCAGCCCTGCAGAGTCCATCAAGCGTATGAGTGTGGTGATGAACAGCAGTGACTCCACTCTTTCCCTGGGGCCTTTTGTCCACCACCAGTCCTCATCTGCAACTGACCACCACGGCAGCTTTAGCCACCACTCCTCAGACGGACGCCTGGAGGGCAAGAAGCGCAAAAGCTCCTCTGCCCAAAGCGGCATTCATGGCGGAGGTGGAGGGGGAGGACCCGGACCAGGTCGACCCAAAGTGGCCAAGTCCCCTGCCATTAACAACATTCACGGGAAGCATGGGCGAAGCATTCCAGGGACAACAGGTCTACCCAACAATTCCCATTTACATCAGGTTAGTTTTGTGAGCGTTTCATTAAATAGTTTAGTTTAATCTCTTAATTGAGCATCGCTCCTAAACACACATAATACACTGTTAGCCACTTCACAGACTGCTGCAGCGTCAGGACTAAAGAACTTTGACACACTTCACTTCTGGATAATCGGGTAGAAGAGTTATTCTAAACTAGTGAGAAAAGTTCACTTCTGTTCCAAAAAGAGATGCATTCCAAACATCACGGACCAAGACGTTTTTCTGTCTTTCAAGTTTCAAGTTTTAGAATCTCATACACAGGCAGTCAGTGCATAGTTTAAAGATCTACGACTCTCACCTATGCCTGTTTTAAATCTGATGTTCTGAGTGTGGTGCTAAAGGCTTCACTGAAACATGAAGTGTTTTTCGTTAACAGTCCAGTCAGCTGTTTTGATCTATCGTACACAGATTCAGCACCCTCACACTTAAACAGCAAAATGTAATACATTCCAGGTTGTTGTTTTTTTAAAGCTGGGATTTACATGCATCGCATAAATGCCTCCTGTGCTGGCAATTAGTTGTATTTAAAAGTGTTGGAAACAAATTATCTGCCCTCAGTGAGTGTCCACCAACACAGTATAAGTCATTCATATACCCATAATCCTCTTACAAAAGTGTGACTGTTTCATTATGGGCTGACCAGATTCTGATGTATAGTGTCAAACATATCATTTATTTAGCTTGCAGTTTTGATTAGTTTTGGTTTACATTAACATAATTTAGCATGTGTACTCTACTTTTTATGTCTGCAAGCAAATAAACACAAATGATGACTTCTTTGATTATTTATGTGATCTGACCCTTCTCACCTTATGTTTCCAGGACATCTTAATGGAAATGTTTCAAAGCCCTTTTAACAGGTTTGTCTGTTCTTTTTGGTTTTTGCTCCCCAGCCAAAGGCTCGTCCCTGACAGCAGTCTGCGTTTGGAACTGGCGGGCAGACGGGAAATAGTCCAGAGTGGTCTGCATACTGCATTCTGAACTGCAAGAGGCCTTCTAAAATAAGATCCACAGTTCCCTCAGCTTCCCACAATCCTCAGGGTGGAGATGATCTCGACTGCCCAATGAAGTAGATGTGGTCCTTACTATTTTTCCCAAAGCCATGTATGTATGTGTGTATGTATGTGAGTGTGTGTTTGTGTATACATTTGTTTGCGCTTGTGTGTAAAGGTGTGGTGAGCAGGGCCACTGAGTAGGGAAGGGGTTCTAATAAGCGAGCCAGGAATCCCCCTACACAGGTCTTGTAAACGAAAGGTCTTCCTGTCTGGTTGGAGGTAGAAGGAACACAGGCTCTTGTGGGTCCTGTAGTTCTGATTAAGGGCTGCCGCGACAAGGCGTCAGGACGCTGAGCAATGGAGAGATGACAAGCCGCTCTCTTCCATGTATGTCGAAGAATGGCTGTGTAAATGTGTGTTTGTGTATTTTTCTCATGTCAGATTCTGCTGGACTACTGGAATTTGCAAACTTAAATACACCCCCAGCGCCTGATTTAAGAAGCCTTGCAAGGAGAGCATGAGGAGGAGCAAACTTAATATCAACATCTTTAAACAACACACAATCAGCTTGTTGTTTGGCTTTTTGTCAGAAAGACTCTTGACGACACATTTAGTGACCTCGGGTTGCATAAGGTTGCCTGAGAAGAGCCCACGGGGACGATCTGGTTAATTCTTTAATCACCCGGAAAAATTATGCAAGTGTTACTTTTTTTATGATTTCTTATGAGCTTTTTACACTGAACTACAAGGTGTTTGTAGACTCGGTGAAGACGGTTATGCTTTTAAATGTGAAAACGACGCTTGATGTGTCCATTTGATTGAATCTTTTGTGAGGGAGATGGCTTGGTCCCGATGGGACACCTGTTGGTTTCCTTCACCTTTCATCACAGACAAACGACAGCCACAGTAGACCTACCCCCAACTGTGAACAGCACTAAGTATCTGCTCTCTCCACCGGCACTGCTCTGCTGTCCACAAAGCTAGACACAAGCTGCCACAACTAGGCCAACTACCTTTTTTTTCCTTTTTTAGTTAAGGGAGTCTTGCTCATGAAGCAGTGATGGTGCATTGTGGATATGAGGAATATCTGTGTAAGCTGTATTGTTTTAGCCACAGCTTGCCTACTTTTAAACCATACAGCTGTGTGAAAACCTCGGCTGCATCCGGGCAGATGTGAATTGTAACATTTAATTTTTACTTACTAGGGAATCAGGTATGGTACGTCTTAACTGGAACAAACTGCACGTGACTCGTGTTCTGTGGGTTCGATTGTCCCCCGCGTTTGTAACCACTACCCAAGTCTCTGGATGTCTCTCTGAACGTTTCAATGCCTCACTGTAACACTACGTCGGGAAGTGTTGAAGATGTCCCTCACAGTCGCCAGGCATTTACACTTTATTCCTTTAGTCAAAATGGAGTCTTAAATCTTTTCCCTCTTGTGGGGATGTTCGCTTATTTAGATAGTTCTGGGTGAGTTCCATGGTGCGAGTTTCACAGAGATGGCTTCACGCAAAACTTCTGGCAACGCCTGTTGATTAATGGAACCCTCCCTGATGTCAAATAGTGTGGAAAAGTCGAGATATCGTTTTGTTTTCGGTGTTTGTTTGTTTTTTAAGAAAAGCATTTGATTTAGCTTTTATTCCCCTTTCTTGTAGCTTATGTAAACAGTATTCCCGTATCCCTATTTGAGAATACATATTTTGTTAACAGATTGTACATAGTAAAGTATGTATTTTTGCACAGGCATTTTTCGTACACGCAAAATTTTTGGTACAATTTTAAAAGTCATTATTTATTTAGTTTTTAAAAAGTTGAAACGTCAGAGAACATTGACTATTTGAAGTGGTTCACTGCCAAGTGTATACAATGCAATACACCTGTATGTCGAGGCTGAAGCATCTCATGAATCGTGTACTTGGATCCTTTGAGGAAACGAGCGTTGCCACTGTAGCATGTCTGTACGACGGAGGGTACCTTTGTTCACTTTTCAAGGTCTCAATCACGCGTGCTTTTACAAGACATTTTATGTTGCCTATGAATCAACTGAAAAAAAAGAAGAAAAAAAAGCTTCTTGTGACCCAGTTAGTCTGCAGTTTTGCAATGTCATGCAGGCTTGAAGCTGTGCGCCGTTGTCTGAAGTCTCTGTGGACTCAAAGCGTTCGCTGTGCAGACCTTAAATGGACTTAAAGATCCAAACACTTGTTCTTTTCTAAAAGGCAAAAGGGACATAGCAATTATTGCAAGGAAGAGGAACACTTCAGACGGTCCACCTGCTTGCATCATCGTTGCCAAACAAGTAATTTGAATCACAGCTTTTAAAGGAAATATCAAATTAAGAAAGTGCCTGAATTTGTTTACCCTGACTGTTTGTGGACAGTGTTTTTGGGTCGTTTTACCTTTTACTTGAATGTTAAAAGTATTTAGGAGTTTGATTTTCAATCTGCTGATGTGGTAAAAACCTGAGTCAGTCGGCTGCCCAGTAGAAAACTCTGTTTTTCTGGATCAGATATAGCAAATTTGTTGGCCTCTGGTTGACTCAAGATTTGTATGTTTTTTTTTTTTTTTTTTCCTCCAAATCTGCCCTCAGAACTCTTGTTTCCTGTACATGGAGACATCATGTGGATGTCTTCTTTATTCGCACCATTGACTTGGAATGTGAATGTGAGGGAGAATATAGCTCGTCTGGGAAGTTAAAGAAAGCCCACCATTCATACTATGTAAAAGCGTGTATAGATTTTTTTTGTAATCATTTTCAGCTGGACTTGTATTGGCTGCTATGTAATTCATGAACAAAACATAGGTTAGAATTGATATTTAAAGAAAAGATTGTATAGTATATTTGTTTTGTAACAAGTTTGTGTAAATAAAATAATTTATACTATTATTTATATGAAATAGTGCCTCTGGCTCGTTCATCGAGTAAAGAATCTGGGGAAACACATCGCAGGTAAACAGGTTTTATTATATACACAATATGAGTCACCTTGTGAGACAAACAGGTCTAGGCATACCAAGAAAAACACAAGCCTCTTTTGCTGTAATAAAAATGGCCACCGTGGTTACATGTTAATAACTCTCGACAACTTTTGGACTCTGTTGAGCAGCAGGTCGCCCTTCTTGATGGTTTCCTGGTACTGCCAGTTTTTGCTATCAGGTCTGCAGGAGGACAGGATGGAGAGTTCAGGTACTGATAATCTGACAAGTGGGGATCTTTAAATTCTACAAGCCTCACCTGTTGGTTTCCACAATCTCATTTACTTTATCGATTTTACAGTGGAGCCGGCCAGCTGCAATGAATCGGGACAGTTCCCTGTGAAGAAAGATGTGATTAGGATTGGCTGAGGAGGCCTGAAAGTGGTAACAATGCTTCTCTGAACCACAGATGGATTACCATTTGGTCAAATTAATTTATTCTACTCAACCAAGATTTATAAATAATTTAAAAAAAACAGAAGTTGGAGGAAAATGGTGCAGATGTGAGGGCCTTGTTATATAACCCCAAAAAGACACATGCAACCTAACGGGAGCAGAATTTGGGTCAGTGGTTCTAATTTAGCTCTGAAACTTCACAGGGTTTCTTTCCACCAACAAAATGCATCCGAGTTTGTACAATGAGAAAATCTACAAGCACCGAACACTAACTACCAATTCTAATTATTTTGGGGCGGCTGAATGGGAATAAGTGATAAGAGTCAAACCACAAGAAGTGGAGCCATTCTTTTTTTCTCTCCTTTTAATACCCTCTTAAATATAGGGTATGGGGGGGGACTGGAGCTTTTTCTGCTGCATGGGAAAAGCTGGTAAATGAAAAATCGACACCAGCAAATATGACTGAAAACACTAAATAAGCAGTATTCTTTTTTCTCCGGTGTTCCAGCACTAAATACTCACTGGTCAATGAACTCTGTGCTGACACCAAAGGCCTCAGCCATGTAGCCCAGAGTGAGGGAGCGGTAGGACTCCAGCAGCTGGCTGTAGGCCTGGATCCTCATCTCCCTCACATAGTGGCGGTAGTGTGGGGCAAAGAGCCAGTCCTTCTTCATCTCCTGCTCCACCATGGCTGCAGCACAAAGGTTCACCGTCATTACGTGAAGCGTTGGCACGCAGTACCAATGTGAGATATTCAAATCAAAGCATTAGTCAGGCTCTTCTTTCTTTCTTTTTCTTAACAACAGCATAAAGTGCTTCCTCACCCAGAGATTGGAAGAAGACGGAGTAACGGCACTCGTACAGGGAGAACAGGTACTGGCGGACAGCAGGCAGGCTGTGCAGCACCTCCAAGATCTCTGCTCCCTTTATCACCTGCAGAAGATACGGTCAACATCATGAAGTACACGCGTGCTTCATCTGATGTTTCAAAGAGTCTTGTGCTCCTCCCCCACCTTTTCACGGAGGTCAGGCCGTTCAAGGGCTATCATGCACACATAGACGGTGTAAGTGACGAAGGTCTTGTAGTCCATGAGCTCATAAGAGGTAAAGGTGGAGACGGTGTCGAGAAAGAGCTCAGCAGCCTGCTTGAAGTCTCTGATGGCCACGCAGTAGAGGCCCTGGTAAACCTTCAGACGATTCCTCCTGTCCCAGTCCCCCCCTTCCTCAATCAGGCTGCAGAGAAAAGCCACATTCGAGACAGATGAGTGCTCGATCTATCAAGAGAAACAGCTCTCATACCAACATGAAGAAGAAGTTACCTTTTTGCTTTCTCCGAATTGCGTGTGATCAGGTCGCTGTCCATGTAGAAGAGGCCGATCCTCAGCAGATAGAAGACGATGTCTAGTCTGTGACCCAGGGCCACTGTTTTGTCATAGGTCTTCCTGAAGGCGGTCAAAGCGCCCTCCTACAGTAAGATAAGACAAGGGCAGCAGAAGCTAAACTTAGCTCATCATGTGGCAAAATCTATGTAGACACGTTGTGGTAGATATTTTAGTAAATTAATTGATTTAATTTTGCCCAATCAGCTATGTCTAAAACTTGGTAACCGCTAGAGCAGTGATTCCCAAAGTGGGGGTCGCAAGCCAGAGAACGGGGGTCGCCAGTTGATTTCCAGAAATAAAATACAAAAATGTAAAACGTTAGGAATAGCATATGTTAGCCATGATTGTAACACAAGATAAAACCTGTGGATTTGGATGATGACTGGATAAGATCACCATTCACTGAAGTGAGAGCAAATCATCGGACATCCGACCTGGAGGACACACTGGATGAACTGTAAAGCGACCAAACCATGAAGACAGCTTTTCATTTCAAGATTGCTAGCTGAGTTTTGGATTCAGGTGGAGAGGGAATACCCACAGCTATCCAGGGCAGCTTTGGATGTGAGTGATGCCGTTTGGCACTACCTACTTGTGGGAAAACACCTTCTCCGCACTGATGTTCTTTAAAAATAAATACAGATCGCGACTGATTGTGGAGGATGATCTCCAGTAGTAGCGGTCTCCAACATCAAACCAAGACTGGACTTGCTGTGCTCCAAGCATGTTGCACGTCCATCTCATCAGGTGAGGTTAAGTTCAAATTAAAGTAATGACTAAATCATGGTAAAATAACATTATGCCTTTTGTGTTATTTTTTGTCGTCAATATGCTCATGTTTGGATAAGCCTATAGTGTGCAATGTTTATATACATTTATAGTTGGGGGGCCGCAAGTCACAGCACCGTCACTTTGGGGGATCGTGGGCTGAAAGTTTTGGGAACCCTGCTCTAGAGCACAAGTTTGTAAAGGAGAAACGTACAGGTTGACCAAAAACAAAAAACAAATACAAAACAGTACTATGTAAAACTCAATATGTACAATGCAAATACGTTTGTGACCAAATTAGAAGAAACTGGAGAAGTTTAAGGAAATTGGATTAAGAACCCTGTTATTTTATCTTTTTCCAAACTAAATTAAAAATCTGATTGAGCATTCTCCAACTGAAATCATTCAATGATTTTGGCAAAAGTGAGGCTTTTACTTTAAATGTACAATTTTACCACTGAACGAAGCCTCTGATTCCTGCTTTTGTAGGGCAGGTTAGCACATCCCCACTGGGACACCTCACCTTGTCTCCAATTCGGATGAGATACTCAGCTTTGGCCATCATGGCGTCTCGTATCTCGCTCTCTCCGAGGTTCTTCTCTGCGTCCTCCATCACATCGTCCAGACGCTTCAGCTCCTCTTCGTTGGCCTTCTTCATTTTACTCAGCAGCTCGTTGTCCAGCTGCCACTTCAGCTCCTTACACAGGGGCTCGTAATACGGCGCCATGTCTAAAGCACAAGGAATGAGGGGTTCATTTTTATTTTAGATTTTCAGTGAATGACAAATCTGAGTCTAAGCGAATGGACAATTGTACCCCAATGTGTTACAACAGTTATGCCTGCAGATATAGAATAAGTAAACATTGTACCCATAAAACTGAGCAGTTTAAAAGTCCAAACTATGCATGCTAAAATGCGTTTCACAGTTGTTGCAAAAGTTCAGTGGCTGGTTGACGTATGCTAATGTCGTAAGCTAGCACGCTAATTTTTTAAAAGTAAAATTGTTTTAACGTGACATTTTTTTCTCGGTTGTAATATCTTATATAATAATGTAAACTGAATTTTGTTATCATAACAGCATAAAACAATTATTGGTGTGTTCTTAAAAGGCTTTTTGGGCTAACATTGCGATGTAAAAGGCTAACTCACTGTTAGCTTTGATAGCGTCCATGAGCTCCGTCTTCACTTTAGCATCCTGTCGGTGTCCCTCCATAGTGAGCAGAAACTTTAGCTGTGCTATCCTCAGATCAGGGTTCTTAGGCAGACCCTCTTCCTCCAGATTTTCAAGCGGCATTTTTGTCCCGAAACCAAAAGGCAAATACGGCAACTGAACGTGTTCTTTGTGTGGACAAATCCACTCTACGTTGAAACCAGCTAATCAACGATGACTACGGAAAACATTGGAGGGTGTTGTTTCCGCCGGTGCTCCTGCCAGCGAGGAGAGAAAAGAGCGGATAACAACAGCACAAGTCACGAGTTATTTATGACTACCGCCCCCTGCTGGCCAGGCGTATCAACGACATCACGTCAGGATTATGAACTAAGCGGCATCCCACTCACTTTCATTCATTTAAATTCAAACAGAATATGTGCAGTTAAACAATATTCAAAGCTCAGTTCTGATTACTTTTCGATGAAAATTTTGGGATTATCGTATTTCAAAACCTGCCACGTACATAGACATCACAACCAATAAGATATCTGAATCTAAGACTTTATTCCAGTCATTCCACATGCACCAGATGATTGTGAGATGTGATCAGTCACCTGACATGAAAAGTATAGCCAACAGATCTGCACTTTGGAAGCCTTGGAGGCAGCAGTTGTTTCATCAGCCCACTGGGCAGACTCTTTTCAGGATGAGACTGCCACTGACTTAATTTTCAGCCCGAGAAGTTAATGATAACCAACCTGGGACATGTAACACAGTCCATGGAACGTGGACATACTGTATGTACTGTGAGACTCATGTCAGTCAAGACGAAATGGAAACTTTGCTCCAGCTTCTGGTAGGCGTTTACTGGCTTCTACAAAAACTTATACATGTCAGTTTTATGTTTTTCTGGGTGTGTGTAAATACTGAAACACATTTGTAGAAAAATCTTCCAGACAAAATGTCTTGTATTAATATGACCTTTTGCTTTGATTCTAAGTTTAACAGAAGAAAAGAATGTAAGAACCACCTAACAAGCTGCTTTACAAAGCCAGGTTATTTTTTAGCTTTGACACTGGTCTTTTGTAGTGAGTCATTAAAACCAGAGTTTCAGCTGCGTCATTGCACTTTGTCAAATTCTTAGTTATATTTCAAATTGGAATATGAAAGATTTAGAAAAGATGCTGAGAACGTTCAAATTGATTGGTCTGATTTGTGTAATTTTACTTTTAAAGTATATATTATATCATGTGACAACGGAATTGAAGAAAGTATAGGCATTGTCTCATTGGGATCATTTTACACATTCTGAAGAACAAAAAGTTGAAAGTACCTTTTTCTTTTAAATGCCATATGTTTGCTTATTGCTTGTTCTATAGACCCATGGCAACGCTGTGCTCCTCATAATCATTTTGGGAATCGGAGGAAGTTTTCAAGTTGGTTACCATGTGACAGGACTGAGCTCTCCCTCACCGGTGAAACACTTTATTTCTGACATTTATTTTTTGTCAGCCTGCTTTCTTTAAACCCTTGTTTAAACCATGTCCTCAGTACATCCAGCACTTCATCAACAGTAGCTGGCATCACAGGTACGATGAGCCCCCGTCTCCTCAGACAGTCACCATGATCTGGTCTCTCATCGTCTCCATGTTTGCTGTCGGGGGACTGCTTGGAGCTGTGAGTGTCAAATTTTTCTCAAGCAGGCTGGGAAGGTGAGTCTGCCACGAGCATCTGTGTGAACATGACGTGCATGCTCTGAGTGAATCAGTGAATAGCTGCACGGTCCTCTGTGACAAACAAAGCACACAACCTCAGTATGTCTGGGGATTGTAACAACATTTTTAAACAGTGAGTGGTGTCATGAACACAAACTGAATAGAATAAAAAAAAGATTAAAAAAGAAAAAACCTCCTACGGCTTTCCAAACACTTTTTTAATAATTCAGTTTGTTTGAAAAGCCAAGAGCAAATCAATAGATCACAGAACAAGATACCCAAATACTCTTTTTCTCTCATTCAATTATGTACTGTTGTTTGTCAGAAAGTATGTTGAGGAATTTAATATAAAAATATGCATGTGTTTTTTTTATCAGAAAAAGAGCAATTATCTGCAACAGCTTTATTGCCATTGTTGGAGCTGGAATCATGCTAACGAGTAAAGAGGTCAATTCATTTGAAATGATAATTGTGGCAAGGATTCTGTTTGGCTATTCTTCAGGTAATATGTCACCTCCTGCCCATTATGTTTTTACCATGAACAGTTGTGAATGATTTGATATTCCATTTATGTTGTGCAGGGATGTCCGTGTCACTGTGTAATAATGTACCTCATCCTGCAGGTTTGGGTTCAAGCCTCCATTTAATGTATCTGGGGGAGATTTCACCCAAAAAGATTAGAGGGATGGTGACTATGACATCAGTCACTTTTACATCACTCGGTAAACTATTTGGACAGTTGTTTGGATTGAGGTAAGCAAACCCTCTGTTACTGAATCTTTTTGAGTTACCAAAGTTCAGAGATTTGACCAGTCTTACACAGGGATGGCAAAATGGTGATAAAAGGTGCATCACATTCACTAACAGGCCACCTTTTCCTTTCCAGTGAGATCCTTGGACGCGAGCACCTGTGGAACGTTGTTCTGTGTGTTCCAGCCTGTTTCTCTGCCCTTCAGGTCATAGTGCTGCCTTTTCTTCCTGAAGCACCCAGATATCTATTCATCGAGAAAGGTGATGAAAAAGCTTGCAAAAAAGGTGAGTGTATTTTATTGCCTAAAATACTCATGTAATTATTTTTTTTCTAATACATTTTTATGCAAAGTTTCTCTATTTTCCAAGCCCTCCAGAGCCTGTGGGGCCAAGGGGAATACAAACAAGAAATTGATGAGATGTTGACAGAGCAACTGGCCATTGAAGAAGTCCCAACCAAGAGCGTCCTGGAGCTGCTGTCGGACAGGACTGTCCGCTGGCAGCTGATCACCATGTGCACTGTCTGCTTATGCAACCAGATGTCAGGCATGTCTGCGGTGAGGAGGAGCCTCTGTGGGGAAATCAACAAATGTCACCTGCTATAGTATAGTATAGTATAGTATAGTATAGTATAGTATAGTATAGTATAGTATAGTATAGTATAGTATAGTATAGTATAGTATAG